TCTGTTAGGAAGTTGCATAGGAGTTGCTGTGGCTTTTGGGGGAGGTTGAAGTTGGTACATATTTTTCATTTTAGTCCGTCGTACCACACTGTGTCAAAGGCTTTTTGTTCATCTTTTGTGTCTTGTATGTTCCTTTGAGTGCGCCCTGGGTTGAGTGGTGTGCTCTGAATCCGAACTGCTTGTAGGACAGTAGTTCTTCACCTTCAAGGTGGTACCTTAGTCGTTTGTTATATAGTCTTTCGAATGTTTTGTCTAAGACCTCAAGTATGCTCATCCGCCTGTAGTTTTGTGGGTGTGTTGCGTTTTTTTTTCGGGGTCATCATGGCTGTGGCTGTTTTGAAGAGTTTGGGGAAGTATCCAGTGGCAAGTTGGGTGCTGTAAAGGTATGTAATGGCTTTGACTGTTTCTGGGGGTAGGTGCTTGAGGATTGAGTACTCTTTGTTGCTGTCGCCTGGTGTTTTCTTTTTGGTTCTGTCCAGTGCCTGTTTTACTTCTGTTGGGGTGAAAGGTGCAGTGAGGATGTGTTCCTATGGGAGTGTGGTGGTGTCTATTATGTTATCTGATGAGGTTCTTTCGTGTAGTGCTCGTGTGATGATGTTGTTAATGTGGTCTAAGATGTGTCTTTGTTGGGTAGGGGGGTTGTGGTTCCCAGTGTAGTTTTAGAGTTTGTCTTACTTCTGTTGGTTCTCTGATTCGTCTACCGTTAACTAGTAGATAATCGAAGGGAGGCCTAGCCGTCCCCCTCAGTTTGGCGATCATTTGCCAGAACTCTCAGGGGTTGTGTGTTCTGTGCTCCTGGGCGGCCTCTACGAGTTTAGTCCAGTGAACCTCGTGGTCGTGAAGGAGGCTGTGGGTGATGTGTGTTCTTAGTGTGGTAATGTCTGCTTGTACTGGTGTGAGGTACTGTTTGTTCTGTTCAAATCGTCGCCTGTAGCAGTGTAGTAGGCGTTGGGTTCTTATGAAGGGTATGAAGGAATGTTTCTTCTTATACTGGTGTTTTGGTATGTGTGTGTCTGCTGTGGCGGTGATTGTGTTAAAGAGTTTTGTGGGTTGGTGTTCGAGGTTGCATGTGTATTGCTGTTCAGAGAGTGTAGTTCGAAAGGCATCCCAGTCTGCACGTTGGTATTGGTATTGTGGTTTGGGTGTTGGGAGGAGGATGGGGTTATAGGAGAGGTGGAGTGTGATGGGTATGTGGTCTGAGCCTGACAGCTACAGCTACTTCTTATCGGTTTTCACAGAAGAAATTTGCGATGAAATTCCAGAGGTGGAACTGATATTTAAGGGAAAGGAAGAAGAGAAATTAAAGAATATCACTATCAGAAAAGAGGATGTTCTTAAGAAGATAAATAAACTAAGGAATACAAAATCCCCAGGGCCGGATGAAATTTTCCCTCGAGCCTTGAAAGAGTGTAGGGAACATAAGAACATAAGAAAATAAGGAGTCTGCAATAGGTCGGCTGGCCTGTGCATGGCAGCTCCTATCGAGAGTTACTACCACTCTCTATCATCCTTGAATCTATCTAGCCTCCTTTTGAAACTTTCCAGAGTTCCCGCACTTACTACAAAGTTGCTAAGCTTGTTCCACTCGTCCACCACCCTATTTGTGAACCAGTTTCTTCCTATCTCCCTCCTAAACCAAAACTTATCCAACTTGAATCCGTTGCTCCGAGTCCTATCCTGCTCGGTATTATAAGAACTATATCTATATCCCCTTTATTGATTCCTTTCACCCACTTAAATACTTCTATCATATCTCCCCGCACTCTTCGTCTTTCTAGGAAATGCAAGTTAAGTTTCTTTAACCTATCCTGATATGGAAGGTTTCTAAGTCCCGGAATCATTTTTGTCATTCTTCGCTGCACCGACTCTAGTGAATTTATATCCATTCTATAATAGGGGCACCAGAACTGAACCGCATAATCGAGGTGCGGCCTAACTAGCGCAAGATATAGTTGCAATAAGACCTCTGCACTCTTGTTACTTACACTTCTAGATATAAAACCCAATACTCTGCTTGCCTTATTTCGAACATTAACGCACTGTTTTCTAGGCCGTAGGTCCGGGCTTACAAGTACCCCTAGGTCTCTTTCACAAGTCGACTTCTCTAGGTTGATGTTGTTAAGGCTGTATACATTATAAGTATTTGTTCTTCCAATATTAAGTACGCTGCACTTGCTGGTGTTGAATTTCATTTGCCATTTTTCAGAGTGAGTGAGAACGTGTTCTGTATGAGATGTATTTAATGTACTATGTAGGTGAGGGTTGGGGGATGACGTGGATGGGTGTGGGGGAGTAATGGGTGGGGAGAGTGTGGCCGGGGGCCATGTCGGGGTTGTTTGGGTCAGGGTTTATTAGTTTCCTGAATATCACTTTAGTTGGCGAGTTTTAGCGGTTGTGGGGCGAGGAGTTCTTCCTCTTTGTTTGGCTCTGTGTTAGGTTTGTTGAGGGTTGAGGTGTCTGTGGTGCAGGGGCAGGTGAGTGGTTGGTCTGGGTGGCGGGAGGGGCAGTGGTGTCTCTAATCTGGGTGGCGGAGGGTGTGGTAATGGTGGTTAGGTGACAGAGGTCAGGTGTGGGCATTGCTGAGTTGGAAGGGCGTGGGTTGTAAACTGTTACCTTGTAGGGTGGAAGGGGCATGGTGGTCGATGGGTGGGGGTTTATGGGAGCCCTGGGGAAGGTGAGTGCGGGTCCGGTTTTGTAGGTATCAGGTATGTGTATGGTCGGTAGGCCGTTGGCCTTTAGTTCCTCAGTCACAAGGTTTAGGAACTGCGACCTGTTCCCGTTGCTTAGGATGTGTGATAGTAGTATGATGGTAGTGATTTTAACGTCAGTGTCGGGGGAGGGGCGGTCAGGTTGTTGGTCCAGCGGGTGGGGTGGGTGTAGGGAGTGTGTGATGGGGAGGTGGTGGTGATGCTGTGAGGGTCATATGGGGAGGGAGTGGTGTTGTGCTGTTATCCAATCTGATTTGACATTTATTGCTGATGGCAGTGTGTTGGCCTTCACAGTTGCTACATTTTGTCTCTGTGGCCGTGAAGCATTGAAGTTGAAGCATTGGTGAACCTTGATAAAGTGTTGTAATTCAATGTCACATGAGAGGATGATGTTGTTGCTTATTTTTATGCCTAGGGATTTTAGTGCAATGGCATCTTTTGTGTTGCTGTGGTGATTTTGAGCATGGGTAGGGTTCCCATCCGAGTTACCAATGTTATTTTGTTGTTGTTGTGTGAGTTTAGTTCAGCGAGGAGATTAGCGTTTTCTAAGATACGGGATATGATTTTCCGGCATATCAGGGTGCACTTTGCACGGTACTCAGACGAGCTGAGGACCGTGAAGCCATTATCTTGGAGTTTTTTTACTCACCTCTGGGGAGTGGAATCTGTCTGCATCTTCATCAGTCTGAAGGAAGATTTTTATTATGTTTTCATTGATGAAGGTTCTAGTCTGAAAAATTAGGGTCAGCTTGAAGATCAGTGAGGCCAGGTCTGAGGATTGCTGGCGTGTGTGGTCCACTTTAATTTTTTTGCTGGACATTTTCCCTAAGTCCTAAGTGGAGATTTATGGAGATCTCCCCTAACAGGTGTCCCTAAATTCCTGCGTCCCTCACTTATGGGAGGCTTTACACGAGCACAGAAGTCCCCGGTGAATCGGCAGGCTCTGCTCACCCTTTGTCCTGCACACAAGCACGCTCTGAGCGAGGTGTGGGGACAGGGCGCTTCTAGACGAATACTTCCCTGTGCGTCAACTGACAGAGGAGTAGGTCCTTTCACGGCAGCAAAAGAAAAAAAAATGAGTGGTAGGGAAAGGTCTGATAACTCACGAATGGTCGCTCGTCTCACCAGGTCCCTCAGCAGTATTCGGCGTTCCTAAGGGAGGTCCGATACCGTGGGAGAGATCAACTATGTCAATCGAGCCAAACGATTTGTCGGTGTATCTTTTCTCTGGGATTGAGGTGTTTTGCGAGGCACAGCAAGCAGAGAGGACTGGGACAGTGGAGGAGACGCCACTACTGCTGCTGTCTCTGGGGTCCCTGGAGTAGCTTCTTGTGCTCGGCTGCGTCCCTGGAGCGGTTGCTTGTACCTCTGCTTCGGCTGGCGGCTGTGTGTCGTCTGTGTGCTCGTCTATTATCACCTGAAGAATTACTATATTTACTTTCTGAAGGAAACAAAACTGTTGTGCATAATCCAGCATCATTAGTAAACTTATCATCCCAAAGGAACAACCATAAATAACAGCAAAATTGTCTTTACGTATTTGGTAACTTTTCCAAAACAATCATCGAATAGATAATAATTAAAACTCACTAAACTCACATGAAGAAAAATCATCAATTTTTGTCTCAACTCTGGAAATTCAGAATTGTTTCCCCTATGTATTAAAGTACCTAATAACTTTCTTGTCAACTTCATCAATAAATACACCTGGACCCTCCTCTGAAAATTGTGCCATGATTTTAAGGGATTCACATTGGTAAGTTATTTAACACTAACACAGAATTTCATACTCATCATCATCCAACTGTCAATACAACTTTCTTAAGTTTCATGCACAATAAAATACTTTATTCTCTGTAAATTGATGCCAACAAACATCACAAACGAACTACAACAATTTTAATTATTTTTCATACAACACCGTCACTATGAATCTGAAGCAAAATATTACAGTCAACACATATTGTTTATAAAATTAATTTGGATTTGAATAATCCAAACTCAATCAAACCTCAATTAATATCTCTCATTAATCCACTTACGCTGCCAACCAATTATACACTTCCCTGTTTACACACAAAATTAAGAGACATTGACAACATTAAATATATTCCTCTAATACAGTTTAACTTCAGCTGGAACGCTCGCATAGGTTTGCTTTTAGTTCATAAGATTTCCTTCCATCTATTATTGAATTCTTCAGTTTCCGTTCATGTACCCAAATCTATTACGGGTTGCAGAACGTGGTCTAGATCCGCGTAACAATAGTAATTAGTTTTTATTCCCTGACAGTGTGAGATAAAAAATGTTTACAATTATGAGACCAGCGGTGAGAGTGTGGGGGGTGGCATCAAGCACTCCACCATCTACGCGGAGGTCTTTCTACTTGGCGAGGACATTAGGCTCGTATAACAGTATCCCGTCCTTCGCGCCCACTTCTACATCATTATCAAGGTAAGGAGACTTAAGGGTACAGCACAACCTTCAGGTGAAGAGTCTTTCCATGTGTATTAGGTTTATGGTGAGTTTTGAAAATATAACGAAACACAACCATCATTCCCCTACTGCATGAATTCGTAAAGAATGGGAAGTTGTATATAAAACATGTCCAATACTTACTCCTATATAGATTCAATCAATTGCTTAAAGGTAAATAATAACTTTATAGATAACATTGTCTGAACTCACCATCATTATATTTAACAAAACATGTGTACGGCTGTGAAGTGCGACCCTAAATATTTGCAACAGGTCAACGAGCAAGAATTACAAAACAATACCCGACATCTTACACAACATACAGTCTGTCAGGACAAAGGCCTTATTGTATACGAGGTGTTTATGTTGCTTGAGCTATTTGCGAGAAGTGACTTACACATCGCTTTAACTTTCTAGAAGACATAAATCATATACTACCGAAGGTAAATTTATCGAACTTTATCCATGTGATGCTGTTAATCTTTTGATTATATTATTATATTATTGTGTATAATCTTGTTTAGATTACTGTGTTCAGAGGACATTCCCTCATGTTGGTCAACGCGAGTGTAAGTGTCAAGTGCAACGTGGATGAAAAAGTTGAATATGAATGATAAAATCATAAAATAAGACGTGAGTCAATGAATTACATGTACAGAGTTGCGTTGTGTACAGTGTGTCTGTGTGTGTGCGATTCTCTTCCAGCCAGCCTGTGCATCTCAAGCCTTTGGCAGACTCTGTGCCCGTGTCTTCAGTTGTAGGAAGCTGAAATTATGCACGTATATCGAGCAGTGGTCCTCCCCACTCTGTTACATGGCAGCGAACATGGGTCTCATACAGGAGGCACCTCAAGGCACTGAAAACTCTTACCAACGTAGTCTACGTTCTATTCACCAGGTTTGCTGGTAAGACAAGAGTACCAACGCCAGCATTCTCGCTGACACCAGCTGAAGGAGCATCGAGACTGCCATTATCCATGAACAACTACGCTGGACTGGCCATGTTTCCCGCATGGACTACAATAAACTGCCAAAGCAACTGCTTTATAGTCACCTAACGAATGGTACATGTAACGCTGATGGACAGCGGAAAAGATATAAAGATAGTCTTAAGACAAACCTGAAAAAGTGCCAACTTGACCCCCTCACCTGGGAGACGATCACGCCGCACCTTAACGCTTGGAAGAGCACCACATAATAAGTGTGTCAATAGTTTCGAGTCAACCCGACTGCATATAGAGGCAGACAAGCGCTGCCACCGCCCCTCCTGCACTAGATGTAGCCCTCCACACGTGCAACACATGTGGACGGCCCTGCCTTTTCGTTATCGGCTTTTCGAGTTACCTCAGAGCTCGATTCTGAGTGACAGCCAAGTAGTTATAGTAGTGTGTGTGTGTGTGTGTGTGTGTGTGTGTGTGATTCCTTTGGTATTTTGTTTGTGGGTGTATTTCCGTGTTTGTGTGAGTGACTTTGTGTGTGGGTTTGCATATATTTTTTCTGTGTGTGTTTGTGTATTTTTTTGTGTATGTTTTATGTGTTTATGTGTGTATTTGTTTGTGCTAACGAATTATACACAACTTACTAACATAATCAGCGTGGATGTGAGGGAACTGAGCGAGAAGGCCAGATGGTTGGGGCCGCTGAACCTCAATTCTCACCTGTACTTCGAGGCACACAAGGTGGGCGCAAAACACTCTGGTATAGTGAACAACATAAGCACTGCACGACCTATCCACCACCAGAACATGGTCGATACCCTCCTTCATCTCTGCAAGTGAGTATTTGTAGCTTTTGAATAAACGAAGAACTTTTGAAATTTCTAGTTTTTCCCAAATAATCCTATACAGTCTATTTAACAACGTAGCATGTACAATATTGACAAATGGCTTATTATCATGGAGCGTACAGGCCGTGTCCCCCTTAACGTCGAGATGCCTTCAGTGTGGCAGTAAGAATTACGATAAGAGCTTATTAATTAAGTGTCCTTCAGGTTATATGCGTGTCTCCACTTATCTCCATGACCTTTAACCACCTTGGCCACTTAAGAGAGTCATTCACACACATAAATAGACGTACAGGACAGTTGGTTGACAGTTAATGATCATCTTATCAAAGATCAGCTTCCCCAATCACGTTAACTTACCATTAACCCATGTCGTTCAGACCTAAAGAAGCCACCAGTCATATTATAGATCTTAATGAGCAAGAGCGAACACCCCGTCAATCTTTGATGAAGATAACAGTTTCTGGCCAAACTTACGCTCCTCTCTGTCAACTATCTCCACCTGAGTTGTTCGAGATGATGAATGTACGCTTCACTTCGACGCACAAGTGTGAAAAGTACTGGTACACGCTGTCATCCCCGTCAGATTACCATTACCCTATTTATACATAAAAAATCGCCATCTTCACTTAATTATTCACATCACCTAAACTCACAGGAATTCCCTTACAATTCACAGCCACAGCATTCGGTTGTCTCTAATCATAGAATAGGTTATATTTTGACCTAATGGCTGGAATAGCTATATCCTGTAGGAGGAGGGTAGGAAATAGATGATTGTCATTCCTAACTCAGACGGAAGCAGAGGTTTCTATCAGAACACTTGGGAACTTAAGTAGTAACAGACATCATTCACCTTGACGCTCCTTGGATCATTATTGTGTGTATAAAGTAGTATTTTTATGTTCTTACTTGAATCATTTCATAATAATATTGCTCTGCCACTGACCTAACTGTAGTCATCATATCATAGCCATAATATACAGTAACAGTAAGTAAGAGTTCTCTCTCACCCCCACCAGGAAGATACCCATCCTGAGGGTGAACATAAAGCCACGAGGCGGACAACCCTGGTACTACGAAGACGAACACATCAACTTAGATTTTCAGGTAAATATTAAAGGTGACTGATCAAGTGGGTCTCAACCCTAAAGGACCATAACCAAACATGATCATTAGGACTGGAGTCTAGTGTTTAAAACAGCTACAACCCTAACGATCACAAACCTGTGTTAACATGAGACCTCACCTCAGGTTTATATTACTTAGACTATGGCAGAGGGATACGTATCGATAGGTTCCCTAGATACTATACTAGTAATGATAATAAAGCATGAGAAATACCAGGTGACCTGTCCTCGAGATAATTATGATGTTGCCGAGTACCGTAACAGTTCAAATAATGAGTTACTTAATGCACAAAGGAGTATTCTACTATATAGAAAAGTCAGATCAAGAAACAAAAAAACGTAAATGAATGAATAATTGTTTTAAGAATAATTATGGGCACAAAAAGGATATAGCCTGTATATATATATATATATATATATATATATATATATATATATATATATATATATATATATATATATATATATATACTTCATTTTTAGTCCATATAACACGCGGACTTTGAACATATAATCAACGACCTCACCAGCAAGGAATCGAACCCTCGACCTACTGGGTGTGACACCCAGTAGGTCGAGGGTTCAGTGTCGTGTATATATATATACAATCACCACCTCAACCCGACAGGATTCGAACCCACGGCCCACGAGCCCATGACTGTGACCGGGGAACGCTACCTCTGGACCACCAGGATACTAAAAGCAGGCCTAGACTTTATTATATTTCACACAAAGCCTGTTCAACGAGCTTATGGCGCCGTGAACCTCTAATAGGGACTACACATATCACGTAGGTTGTCAGAGTAACGTTTTACCAAATCCGGCTTCGAAACACGAGGATCCACATATATTTCATTGGCCCAATAAAGCACGCGGACTTCTACATACAATCAACACCTCAACCCTCCAGGATTCGAACCCACAGCCTGCCGTGAACCTCTAATGAGGACTGCCTGTATCACAGCGCCATTAGCTCGTCGAACAGACTTTGTGTGAAATATAACAAAGTCTAGGACTGCTTTTAGTATCCTGGTGGTCCAGAGGTAGCGTTCCCCGGTCACAGTCATGGGCTCGTGGGCCGTGGGTTCGAATCCTGAGGGGTTGAGGTGTTGATTGTATGTAGAAGTCCGCTTGCTTTATTGGGCTAATGAAATATATATGGATCCTCGTGTTTCGAAGCCGGATTTGGTAAAACGTTACTCTGACCACCTACGTGAGACAGGTAGTCCCCATTAGAGGTTCACGGCGCCATAAGCTCGTTGAACAGGCTTTGTGTGAAATATAACAAAGTCTAGGACTCCTTTTAGTATCCTGGTGGTCCAGAGGTAGCGTTCCCCGGTCACAGTCATGGGCTTGTGAGCCGTGGGTTCGAATCCTGGCGGGTTGAGGTGTTGATTGTATGTAGAAGTCCGCGTGTTTTATTGGGCTAATGATATATATATATATATATATATATATATATATATATATATATATATATATATATATATATATATATATATATATATATGATGAGGAAAGAGCAGGTATTATCTTCAGGTGAGTACCTAGTCTGTACTCACCCCTGAAGATGTGAATTACACTTTGGGAACTGTGTTTTCTTTCCTTGTGGTTATCAGCATATACCTAGATCACGCGCACCTACAGTGATTTAGGATATATATATATATATATATATATATATATATATATATATATATATATATATATATATATATATATATATTTCATGTAGATCCACAATGGAAACGTGGATAAGATAAATCTTGATAAACTCACACAAGGAAAGGGAAACAATGGAGAACCTTAGCTTTCGTCTTTATTCAAGTCATCTTCAGAGGCAACTGAATTACAAAGACTGAGAGAGAGCTTATGTACACAGGGTGACCTTCCAAAACATGAAGTCAGGTAAAAAAATGTGGCATCCACTAATCCACACACCAACCACACAGCAAACATAAGAAGAGATTATAAGAACGGGCGACATAACTAGTCATGTCACGTCAGGTAAAAAAAATATGAGACCCACTAATCATCTATCATACACTCTGCCTTACTTGCTTTCAAAGCATTTTTAACCTTGGGCCACTGACAAATAAATTTGTGCAACGTATTATCAGTTTTGTACTGACCATCACTAAGGTTTAAAGAATACATTTATCTCATCAAACTTGCTTAATCTAGAAGTCTTTCTGTGACACGTGATGATTTATACACTTCTAAACTGTTTTCCCAATCTGTGGGATGATCATTGTTCCTTATATGAACGAACAGTGCACTGTTTTCAGATGCTGTTCTAATATTGTACTTGTGTTGTTTAATTCTGGGTTGTAATGCTTTCCCAGTCTGACCTACATAATTTCCATTACATTTGCTACATGGAATACAGTAAACACTTCCATTTACATTCAAGGTTGGGCTATTCTTAATTATTATATTAGTAATAGTTGAGTCATACTTAAAACAACATTGATATTTAATAATTTAAGGGATTGAACTAACGGGACAAATTCATTGTAATAAGGTAGAGTCAAAATACTCTTAAATGTAGGAACTTGCCTCGATTAAGAACAATAAAAGGATTTTTAGCCCTTTTAAAACAACGATCAACAAACAATGAAGCGTACCCAAGTTGTTGGTGTAAATTTACATAGAATCAATTCAACATCATTACATACCACCAGGAACTCTACGTGGTTAAATAGCCTGGTTGATCCCCGGGAGCTAATTTGCCATGACTTATCCTCGGGTGGTTTTAGCAATATTTGAATAAATACATTTTCTTAAAGTTAAAAATTCAATATGGCTGCATTTTTATTCCCCGTTATAGGTGCAAAATATAACGCGGGTAAGAAATTTAATCTTATTGAGAAAGAAATTCACTTTATATTTTAATAGGTTTTAGAGGAAGGAGCCAACCCTTCAGAAGAGTTCCAAAAGCTCAGCAAGGAAGGCTTGGGGACAGAGGATGCCCCCTTGATGAAAGTTCGGATGATCCCTGGGGTGACGGACGCCTCCTGCGCCTTCCCCGAGTATAACAAAGACTTCCCCCATCAATACGCCATCATCTTCTTCGTGCACCACTCCATCATGGACGGTACCAGTATGGCCTATAGCTTACGGGGGTTTGTGGAAGTACTTGACAGAGTTTTGCGTGGCCAGAGTGTTGACAATACCAAACAAATAGGAGTATTTGTTTCACACCAGGAGATCACAGAAAAAGAACTGCTGATTGAGAAGATGTTGAACAATGATCAAGGACGATTGAGGGAGTTGAAACAAGAAGTTCTAGCAAGCACCAAATCGCCTGAAATATTAAAAGGTTATCCTGCGCCTGGGGGACCTAACCCGACCACTCACTTTCTTCACCGCGAGATTCAGCCAGAAAGGTTCCACAAGATCTACCTCCGGTGTAAGCAACACGGTGTAACCTTTTACACTGCCTTGCAGGCTGCTGTAAACACCGCTATAGTCGAACTACTGAAGGAGGCGGGAATCCACGATGAAGACTTCAATATCAGTGTCTCCAATAATACCAACCTGCGGCGATATATGGCAAGGCGCCCTTCACCAATACTTGGGGTACACGTGTACCACACCACGCAACTTGTCAATGTTAGTCGAAATGTGAGGGAAAGTTTCTGGAACTTTGCTAAAATAATTGGCAGTGACCTGAAAACTCTCCTTACTTCAGAGGCGTCGCTGGTACAGAGTGTGGTGCGGAGGATGACGCTGCCGCCCATCGACCCGACTACTTACTTCAGGACTCCTCCACCCTTGACAAGCGACTACCTCTTTACCAACATGGGAGATGTGTCTGCCATGATTGGTGGTGATACTCACAGTGTCCGTGTCACAGGCATATATAATGTTAGTGAAATACACAACGCGTCAGTTATGTGTTTTCATTCTACGCACACATTCCGTGGTAAGCCTCTCTACACGTTTACTTACGCCTCCAACTACATGACGCATGACACAGCAGAGAGGCTGGTCAACATGATCTTCACCATCCTAGACGAAGTTAGTGAATAATGCCTTCAAAATGCATGATGCAGAGACCTGTTCTACCCAACATTACCAGGTGTTATTGACTGAAAGAAGTATACCCTCTATTTTCTTATATCTCTGTTATTTTTTATGAGAGAAAGAGAGTTCAACAAGCTAGCCAGCCTGAACCCTAGTGCGCGCGACAGACAGGTTCAGGGGGACAGGAGTAGATTTACCTTTACGGTTAATCCTTTCCTGTTCATAGTTTGTTCCATCCTTTCTTTAGTTTGTTACATCCTTTCTTTAGTTTGTTCCATCCTTCCTTTAATTTGTTCCATCCTCTATCTATTTTTTTTCAACCTTTCTTTACTTAGGTCCATCCTTTCCTTAGTTTGTTCCATCCTTTCTTTAGTTTGTTACATCCTTTCTTTAGTTTGTTCCATCCTTTCTTTAGTTTGTTCCATCCTTTCTTTAGTTTGTTCCATCCTTTCTTTAGTTTGATCCATCCTTTCTTTAGTTTGTTCCATCCTTTCTTTAGTTTGTTCCATAATTTCTTTATTTTTTTGCCTTTCACTAGACTGTTTACAACTTGCCCATTGTAAGCACTAAGACTGGAGAACAGGTTTAAAGCAGCCAAGTCACCAAGAGTCTTAGGTTAGGTTAGGTGATGTTTGGCTGGTGTTATTACGACCTGGGATTATTTATGTAAGTTTGATGGGGAAGTATCATGTTTAAATTTAGAAGTGTGAGTGTAGTGGAAAATTATACAGACGAATTAGGTCAGTTAATAGAGTGAGTTAGATACAAAGAGTTGACACTAAATCGATGTTCTAGTTCACTTTGCATAAGTAAACTTGACCTGAGGATATATTTTTATCATAATTTGTGTTGTTGGTGTTGACTCATACTCATAGTCATCATGCTACTGAAAACATAGTAAACCCATAGATGACAAAGTATGTAATTAAAGTAAACTAATACTAAAGTTATATCTTTAAAATTTTCTAGTATAATTGATGCTATATTACATAAACTCCATAATATATTATAATTCAAGTGTTCTTACTTTAGTATACTTACCTATATGTATCTGTATTGTAAAGACAAATCCCATACCCAGGGTTATTATGTGATTACTTAAGCGTTAATGTACTTGTTTCCTATTTATAATTTCCATACAATCATTATTGGATTACAGTAACACACAATTCATATATTGTACTTTTTATTGCAATAAATTCATACCACCGCATCAATGAGTGTATCATAGTAACGTGTGAATCTTCCGTGTGTGTGTTGGCATTTGGCATGGCCATGTCAGTTGTGGGTTTGTTTAGTGCATTCGTTCACGTCTGAGGAAATAACAATAGTACTAATAATTGTGACTCAAAAACAGACAAAAGTAAATAACATAACAGAGAACACTGGCATTAGTAAACAATTTTTAGAAACACATACAGTAACAGCGGGTCCCATAGGCAGTGCGTATACAGCATGCAGAAGACAGTGTGGAGGAAACTGACCTAGGCTGGCCCAAGGTATAGGCCGTACAGGCGAATGTTAAGGGCGTCATCTATCCATTGGGAGCGCCAAACGACGCATGGAAAAAATAAAGAAATTTATAAATTGAGCTTGATGGTTTGCAGCGGCACCACATGACTCTCTCGCCCACAGTACCCCACCACTGA